TTTACTTACTTGTGCATAGATTTATATAATTATGTCTTATTTGAAACAGTCTTTTATTACTACTTATCTAGAAGTTTTATTACCATTTTTATATATCTTTATTTTTACTCTTTATTATTGTAATATAGTGTATTGTGATGTGTGAGCTACGGTGTCCAAGTCTTTTCCCTTGTAGATCAGTAAAGTTTGTCTAAGTCTAAATGATTTGTGTTGTTAAATAATCTGTCACACATAAAATTAAAGTCATAAGATAGTTAGCATTAACATTAACACAACCATGAAAGCTCAAATTGGTCACAGGCTCCTGAAAATCCGCTCTTTAAATCCCTTTTGTGTTTTTTCTTGAGTTTTCAGACTATTTTAAAACTTTTTGTCAGTTGTTGCCAGTGTTGGGAAGGTGACTTTTAAAATGTAATCCCCTACAGATTACAGATTACATACTCCAAAATGTAGTTTGTAACGTAATCCATTAAGTTATTTAAAGTGAGTAATGTAATCTGAATACTTTGGATTACTTGATTTGCTGTAGAGAAACAAAGACAAGGAAACTTAACTGTATTAAAATATTATTGATAGAAGAAGAGGAGACACATCCACACAGCAGGATTTACTCCTGTTAAATCCTGGTTTAGTCCTGGTTTAGTCCTGGTTTAGACCTGGTTTTAGAGATGGTTTTAGACCTGGTTTAGATCTAGTTTAGTCCTGGTTTAGACCTGGTTAAGCTCTAGTTTAGACCTGGTTTAGTCCTGGTTTAGTCCTGGTTTAGTTCTGGTTTTAGACCTGGTTTAGATCTAGTTTAGATCTAGTTTAGACCCGGTTTTAGTCGTGGTTTTAGACGGGGTTTTAGACCTGGTTTAGATCTAGTTTAGACCTGGTTTTAGACCTGGTTTAGTCCTGGTATAGACCTGCTTTTAGACCGGGTCTAGATCTAGTTTAGTCCTGGTTTAGACCTGGTTAAACTCTGGTTTAGACCTGGTTTAGTTTCCGGCAATGAGTGGAATTACCAAAAAAACAAAAAAAAAACAAAACATAAAACAAAACAAAACAAAAACAGATATAACCCAAAATGCGAAAACAGGAAAATACTGCTGTGTAATCCATTTATTTCAACAAAGTAACTGTAATCCAATTACCACTCACTGAAACTGTAACTGTAACTGAATACAGTTACTCATAATTTGTACTCTGATTACATAACTCTGGTACATGTAATCTGTTACTCCCCAACACAGGTTGTTGCTAATGTGTGCGTCGTGTCACCAACCTCAAGATTTTATTTTTTTTACATATTTTAATGAGCTAATGAGCTCGCCACGTTTACCTAATACCTCGACAGGGAAATAATAACAGCTAAAATGAAACAAAACGGCCCTCAAATACCCCCCCTTGCCGCCGACACCGAACAAAATAAAGCAGACAGACTCGGCTCCAGTGCCTTTATTCTTAGTAAAGTGCTCATTCTAAAGTACATTCTGATCCACGATCACATGCAAAACTATGTCTGTATCATATGAACAAAAACAAGAATGCCATAGAAATAAAAATACACCAGATTTTCAAGTTTTAACATCAAACTTCAAGTAATGCACAGTCTTTTGTCAAACTGAAAATGTAAATAAATGTTTTGTTTATATTTTAAATTCTAAAATCATGGCACGTTCTATATTTGGAGCATACAGAGTTATTTTTTTTACATTCAAAATCCAGTTTTTGTTTTGTTTTGATATTTTAAATTTTCTGGAAATTTTAAATTATATTACAGAATACAGAGGTTGAAAAAAAAAAGTCAAGTAAATTTACCATTGTTTTAAAATAATATTCAAGGAGTAGTAATAGTAGTAGCAGAAGTAGTAATAGTACTTGTAGTAGTACTTGTAGTAGTTGCAGTAGTAGTAGTAGTAGTGGTAGTAGTAACAGTTGTAGTAGTAGTTGTAGTAGTAGCAGTAGTAATAGTAGTAGCAGAAGTAGTAATAGTGGTAATAGTACTTGTAGTAGTACTTGTAGTAGTTATAGTAGTAGCAGTAGTAGTAGTAGTAGTAGTAGTAGTAGTAATAGTAGTAACAGAAGTAGTAATAGCAGTAATAATACTTGTAGTAGTACTTGTAGTAGTTGTAGTAGTAGCAGTAGTAGTAGTAGTAGTAGTAGTAGTAGTAGTAGTAGTAGTAGTAGTAGTAATAGTAGTAGCAGAAGTAGTAATAGTATTTGTAGTAGTACTTGTAGTAGTTGTAGTAGTAGCAGTAGTAATAGTAGTAGTAGTAGTAGTAGTAGTAGTGGTAGTAATAGTACTTTAGTAGTTGTAGTAGTATTAGTAGTAGCAGTAGTAATAGTAGTAGCAGAAGTAGTAGTAGTAATAGTAGTATTTGTAGTAGCAGTAGTAATAGTAGTAGTAGTAGTAGTAGCAGTAGTAGTAATAGTACTTGTAGTAGTCGTAGTAGTAGCAGTAGTAATAGTAGTACTTGTAGTAGTGGTAGTAATAGTAGTAGTAGTAGCAGTAGTAGTTGTAGTAGTAGTAGTAGTAGTAGTAGTAGTAGTAGTAGTTGTAGTAGTAGTGATAGTAGTAGTAGTAGTAGTAGTTTGTAGTAGTAGTGACAGTAGTAGTAGTAGTAGTAGTAGTAGTAGTTGTAGTAGTAGTGATAGTAGTAGTAGTAGTAGTTGTAGTAGTCTTTTAGTACACAAAAAAGTATTAAGGAAAAATTGAGGAAACTAAATACAAAATTTACCAAGTTACAGTTACAAAAACTCTCTGTCTCCATGGAGACGATCAGGTGATGCTACCAGGCTAAGTTACAGCTCAGATCTGCGGTGAGGCGAGCCCACGTACAGCATGAAAGACATGTGCAGTAACTGAATGAATGCAAGACAGAAAGGTTAAACGCCATACTGTGGAACATTCCAGGCAAAGCTATAACATCTCCATGGAGACAAGCAAGTGACACACCCCACCAGAAAAGTTACGTAGTGCTACTTTAAACTTAAACACTGTGATTTTGTTCCATTCGTTGGTGTTACGGAGCAGATGACAGTGTAAACTCTATGCATAGATGTGGATTGGACAGAAGTGAGATTGTACTAAAAGGTCCAATATTACACAAAACTGACTCGTGTGAGCTTTTAGTCGGGTTATAAAGCTGTTACCTCATCAAAAAAACATGTTTGAGTAACTCTTTATCATTAATCTGTCTGCATCCCCAAACCTCAAAATGCTCTGTTCCACCTTGTGATGTCATGAAGCGAAAGTTTTCAGGAAATCATTGTACAGCTCCCGGGCCACATACAGACCTTTGTTTGACTCTGACCGGCCTGTTTAAGCTCATTTCAAGGTTCCCACGGTCCTGGAAATCCTGGAAAAGTCATGGAAATTGAAAATGTCATTTACCAGGCCTGGAAAAGTCACGGAAACTTGTAAATTCAATAAAAGTTTTGGAAAAATCTGGGAATTTTAGGTTACGTTTACACTGAAACAAATCACCGTATCACCGTATCGGAAATGATTTGCCGATTTGTCGTTTCTGTGTCTGCAATCGAAGCCTTCCCTTCCCACACAGTAACGCGAAACCGACTAAAACGATGTCACAACGTCAAAAAACAAGGAAATGAAGCAAAACAATGATATTTACGGCTTTTTAGGCAGAAATACAATTAATATTATTCAGAATTGAGTTGAGCATTTTGACCCTCCACAATATTTTCTGTTTCACTCGTGGCCCCATGGAAAAAATAATTGCCCACTCCTGATCCAAATGATTCTAGTGAAGGTGTACAGAGTTTAAAAACACAGTGGAGCACTTTTTGTAATACCACTCAACGACATCACACGGTGGAACGGAGTGTTAAATCCATTTGAGAGAAGAACTCAGCCTAAATATGCAAGATTTGTGTGAATGAAACAAAAAAAACACAACTCCAGGTCTGTTTGTGATGGGGAAACAAAATGATATCACAGAGATCGATCAGATAATAGTGTAATATTGGACCTTTAAGTAAAAGTACTGCTACTTTAAATAATATCACTGAAGTAGAAGTAAAAAATATGAGAGAAGAGAGATAAAACTAAAAGTCTTAAAAGTATTTTTAACTGTAGTTAGTGTAGCCGCCTTTGGATTTGAATTTGATCGACAGAAGATACAGAAGAAGCTGTTACTGAAATGTAAAAATAAATAAATAAATAAATAAAATAAAAATAATAATACACTGTTGTTTTCTTAAATAAAAAAGAAACAGAAGACAGATTGTGTCACAGTTCACATGACAGAGGTTTAACCACAAGAGAGAAGAGAGAGACAGAGGAGGGAGGGAGAAAGAAAGAAAGAAAGAAAGAAAAAGAAAAGAGAGAGGGGGGGCGAGGAGGGAGAGAGAAAAAAGAAAGAAAGAAAAGAGAATGAAGAGGAGAGAGAGGGACAAGGAGCGAGAGACGGATGTAGGGGAGAGAAACAAAAGAAAGAAAGGGGGAGAGAGAGAGTGAAAGAGGGAGAGAAAAGAAATAGAAAAATAGAAATAAACTAAGAAAAGAGAGGGAGGAAAGAGAGAAGAGAGAGTGACAAGGAGAGAGGGAGGAGGGCGTTTAGAGTGAAAGAAGGATGGAAAAACTAAGAGGAGAGAGAGAGGGGGGTGAAAAGAGGAAGAGAGGGAGGGTGCAGAGAGAGAAAAGACAGGCAGAAGGAGGGATAAAGAGATGACGATGAAAAGACGAAGGGAGTGATTGCAAGGAAGGAGGAGAAAGAAAGAAAAAAGCAAGTAGAGAAAAAGATAAAAGGAAGAAACGAGAGAGAGGGAGAAAGAAATGTAGGAAAAATATTTGCGTGGTGAGAGAGAGAAAAGAAGAGAAGTAGAGAAGCAGAGAGAGAGAGAATAAAGGAAGGAAGGAAGGAAAGAAGAGATAGAGAAGAAATCCCACTAGAGCTTAAATCGATCAAGATTACAGAGTTAGACCAGAGCTGTGCCACGACTTTTTGTGCCAAATATCAGAGAAAAAGAGGAGAAACTTTTGGGATTCGAACTCGCAACTCCGGAGTTAACCAAAGAATTTAAACAAAAAGAAGAAGAAAAGAAGAAGTTATTTAATTTAATTTGAACAATTACTGGTCTAACACTCAGATCTAATCCAGTCTGTTCTTTCTCCGTCTTTCTCTTTCTCTCTCTCAGTTTAAGTCCTTCTACCAGATGTATCCTCCGTCATCGGCTTCGCTCTCCTCCTCTTCCTCCTCCTCTTCCTCTTCTCGTCTGTCCTCCTTCGTCTCCTCCTCATCCTCCCATCCCACTCCGCTGCCAAAGTCGCCCGAGTGTCCAGCCACTTCATCTGAACACACGACACACAGACAGTTAACCAAAAGATCAAGTCACGTGGTGTTAAAATCCAGAGAATAAAAGTCGTAGTCAAATATTCACTTAGACTAAAATGTGATGTGTGCTGTTCTCTGTCCCGTATAGGCGAGTTTCAGCTGACGTCATTGTTATTAAAAGCCCGCGTTGCTGCTGGGAAATATTTTGATCAGAGACAAGAAACACGATAGCGTCAAACACAGTGCGTAACCTCACGTATTTATCCCCGATAATGGTAAATTCCTGCTGCATTATCGGATGCACAAATAGAAGAACAGAAGAAGGAAAATGTCTTTTTCGTATTCCGAGTGAAAAGAACCGCTAACGGCGAATTAAACGGCTTTCAAACATTCGCAGAACAAACGTAGAAGATCCTAACAAACCGTGGACTCCAACAAGTTCAACAACACATCGAGACTCTTGGAGGTTTTCATCTTTTCTGCTGTGAACGGCCCAGGAGTTTCCACCAAGTCATTGTGAATATCGCTGAAGTGAATATTTGTCCAGGTAGTTGGTGATTCTGACCAGAAATTTGGTTTGGTCCACCTTTTGTCGGGGTTGAAAAGGGTGATTTGGCGTCTGTCGATGCTTATGACCAATTTCTGGTCAAATGGTCTTGGTCCTCTGCCGTTAGAGTGGATAAATAACCAGGATCAATACCCTTTACGTGTTTTCTCGCTCCGTCCGTCATGTTGAATTAGTGTTTCTTGCCGCTGACCAAAATAATTCCCAGCATGCAACGCGCGCTTTTGTCAACAATGAAACTCGCCTATTGCATCTAAATTCAGATGTTCTCAGGTCTCACCACAGTCTGGGGTCCCCTGGTTCCTGGTCCCGGTGAGTTCTCCTCCGTGGGGGTCCACACACCAGCACTGGCCCCTGCTCAGGTCACACTGCAGCCTCCTGAAGTACCCCTCCTCGTCACAGCTCGGGACCCACATTGCTACAAAGGAAGTATTATTATCATGTTATTATCACATCATTATTATTAAGCTATTATCATGAGGACTTTCAGACTGGTACCACGTTTTATGAAAGACAAAGTTTGACTGTTTTAGACTTTGTTCATTGTCTCTTTATTAGGGGTGTAAAGGTACAAAAATCATGGTTTGTTTTATTTTCGATACAGTATAGGAACAAAATGTAAAACCATTTGTGTTTTTATTAAACCAACAATTTGTTTTAACATTATACAAACGGGAAAATAGGGGGGGTTCTGCGCCAGCAAAAGGTGAGAGTGAGGACCGGGGTGTGACGACTGTAGTTTTTTTCTGTAGTTTTGGTTTTCATTCCGCACTCTTCTCTCTAATTTATGTCTCTCTTTTTTAATTTTAATCTTTATGATTATTTATGTTTTGATTAGTTTTTATTGTGATTTTAATGTTTTTCTTATTCCGTAAAGCACTTTGAATTACTTTGTGTACGAATTGTGCTCTACAATTAAATGCGCATTGCCTTGCCTTTTGCGAGGATTCACGTGGTTTGGAGAGACTTAGGCTACGTTCAGACTGCAGGGCTTAACGCTCAATTCCGATTTTTTTGTGAAATCAGATTTTTTTTTTGAGGTCGTTCACATTTTCCATTTAAATACGACTTGTCTGTGATCCCCTGTGTGAACAGTAAATGGCCCAAAAGTGTCCCACATGTGCAATGGAGCCACGAGGACGTCAACCGCAGCGAGCGTCTCTGTGTTTACGAAAGTTGTCCAAACATGGAGGCAGCATTGAGCACCTGGAGATTTTAAAGTTCCTCTCGTACCGGAGCCAGAACATGAACAACTTACTTGTTTTAAGGAGAAGGACGAGGTTTTTGGCCGTGGTGTTTTGTGGGACAGCGGCAGCGACGTCCGTTGAAAGGAACGTGTGGATGTGGAGACGGAGCCAAGACTGGTGAGTGGTGATGTGCTTTACTTCAGTGACATGGAGTTCATTAACAATTTTTGCCGACTTCAGTGCAGAATAGTGACGTTTGTGGCTTGTTGATAACGTGTAGGTGGATGAATGCGCTTTGGCCGTTCAGACTGGAGTCACATGTCAAAAGATCGGATATGTATCGGTTTTAGGAGCACAAATCCAAGTGTCCTGGGTCACATTTGAAAAAATCGGATCTGTGTCGTTCAGACTGTCATTAAAAGATCAGATACAGGTCACATAGACGCCAAAAAAATCGGATTTGGGTCACTTCTGGCTGCAGTCTGAACTTAGCCTTAGTCAAGGTGGCGGGCAATTGTTGTTAAGGTGATCGCCCTAACTATAAAGCGCTGTGGGAAACACTGCAGCAATCACGGACGAGTCCCCTCCTGAATATTAAATAGCCGAGTCTCCGTGTTGCTGCACATGTAGTGGTGAAATGTAAACACACACAAATTGCGCGAAATCACTCATGCACTGCCCTGCACCGAACCGAACATCCCGTACCAAAACGGTTCGGGACAAATACATGTACAACTACACCCCTACTCTTTATGGTAAATTTGATCTGGCAAGTATTTTAATCCCAGCGCAGCAAACTGTTTATTCACGGGGTTCAGCTTTCTGTTACAGGTGACATTTTGAAGACTTTTCACCATTCAGAAGATGGTATGTAACGGTCCAAAACTGTCATCATGTACCAATATATTAAATGTACTGAAACTCAACTTGAAATTATCTAGAAATTAGATACATGTACGAATAAACTAAAATACTAACTTCTTAACAAAAATTTAATTAACAACAATTTAAAGGTGCGTTGAGTAATTTTTCTGGTGGAGTGTCCATCAAATGCTGTTCTCCATTTGTCTGGAATGTTGCACAGTATGGCATTACACCTTTCTATTTTCAGGGAGACCAAACTAGACCAAGTCACAGGTCAGATCTGTGGAGAGGCGACCCCGCTCACAGTCAGAATGTCTGTTTTCTTGGTATTTTTGAGCCATAAAACCACCTGTAATTGAAGAAATGTAAGGTAGCACTGTTTAATGTCATACTGTGGAACATTCCAGGCAGAGCAATGACGTATCCATAGAAACAAGCAGGTGAAGGACCTCCAAACAAAAAGTTACACAGTGCACCTTTAAAACAAAACAGAGAAACATGAGAATATATACATTTTGACACATCAATCAGTGACATATTGTATTGTAGTGCGTTTTAATAGAAAATGTGACAGGAGCAGAGACAGAGCAGGCAGAGCAGAGACAGGAGCAGAGACAGGAGCAGAGACAGAGAGACAGGAGCAGACAGGAGCAGTGGCAGTGAGTCCCAAAGGAGTTTGTGTCAGAAGCTGAGGCAGATTTAACATTCAGGAAGAGAACCAAGTGTCTAACAATCCCCAAGAACATGACACAAAACACAGGGACAGACTGAACTAAACTGCACAGGTGAGCAACGCAAAATCAGTATGAGGAATCCGTCACCTGCTTGTTTCCATGGAGATGTCGTTGCTCTGCCTGGAATGTTCCACAGTGTGACATTAAACAGCTCTACTTTATGTTTATTCAATTACAAGTGGTTTTACAGCTCAAAAATACCTAGAAAAACAACATTCTGACTGTGAGCGCGCTCGCCTCTCCACAGATCTGACCTGTAAACTGGCACGGTGCTTGTCTCCAAAAATTCCAGGCTAAGCAACAGCATCTCCATAGTGATGGAAACCTCCACCTGGAAAGTTACACAGTGCACCTTTAGAGGTTTTTGTGTGTTGGTGGAGAGTGCGTCAAATGTCTTTCTTCATGGAGATGTTATTGCTTTGTCTGGAATGTTTCACAGTGTGGCATTAAAGCTTTCTATCTTCATGAAGAGACCAAACCAGACCAAGTTACAGGTCAGATCTGTGGAGAGGCGACCCCGCTCAAAGTCAGAATGTCTGTATTTTTTAAGTATTTTTGAGGCTGTAAAACCTGAATAGATGTAGAGTTGTTTAAAGTCACAATGGCCACGTTTACATGAATAATTGTTCTGAATTAAATAGTTCGGAAATATTAATGTATTAAATTATATTATAAAATATTCTCCTTCAAGTTTAGGCTGACATAATAATTCAGACTTGAGGTTTAAATGGAAAACACATTAAATCGTCTTTATTTATTTTATTTAATTCCGCTCAGCGCCTGTGAGTGGGGAAGGGTTCGGATTGGACAAAGACATGAACGTATTTACGTTGCCCGGAAGAAAACACACACTTCAGCTGCTACCGGCTTTTCTGTCATCTCGGTTTGTCGTTACGCCACGGACACAAACACGATCCAAACTTTGATAATTGGTGTTTTGTGGCATTTTTTGTGTGTTGTGGCATTTTTTGTGTGTGTTGTGGCTTTTTTTGGCATGTTGTGGCTTTTTTGTGTGTGTTGTGGCTTTTTTGGTGTGTTGTGGCTTTTTTTTGGGTGTGTTGTGGCTTTTTTTTTTTGGGTGTGCTGTGGCTTTTTGCTGTGTTGTGGCTTTCTTTTTGGTGTGTTATTGTTTTTTTTTTGGTGTGTTGTGGCATTTTTTTGGTGTGTTGTGGCGTTTTTTTGGTTTGTTGTGGTTTTTTGTTGTGTTGTGGCATTTGCATTTGTGTTGTTGCGTTTGTATTTGTATTTGTTGCAGCACTTCAGTTTGTTATGAGCCCTCCCAGCTTCCGTAACATCCATTTTTATTCAGAATTAAATCATTAAAACTCTCATGTAAACGTGGCAACTGTGGAACATTTCAGGCAGAGCAGTGACATATCCACAGAAACAAGCAGGTGACGGACCCCCAACCAAAAAGTTCCACAGTGCACCTTTACAAACTGCGTGCGCTGATCCGTCTTTGTGCTGTTTATGTCTGTGGAGCTCGTTAGGACCCAAACGGGCTGAAACAGATTATGCCAGTTTTTGAAAATTACTGTTAAATGGTCTCTGTTCCAAAGCGTGCACATTAGGCAGAGTGTCTGGCTGCCCATGGGCTTCAGAATGATGAAAAACCAGGACCGTTGCCATGGCGAAAAATTTTATATCTTTAGAAGCTGCACCCCATGAATATTCTAATACGAGACCTGTTGATGTGAGATTAACTGGCCCGCTGTGGTTTCAGTGAGAGACATTTAAAGCTGTATTGTGTGGCTTTTTGGTTGTGCTTGTTTCCATGGAAATGTCATTGCTCTGTCTGGAATGTTCCGCAGTTCTACCTTACATCGATTAAATTACAGGTGGTTTTATAGCTCAAAAATACCTAGAAAAACAACATTCTGACTGTGAGCGGGGTCACCTCTCCACAGATCTGACCTGTAACTTGGTCTGGTTTGGTCTCCATGAAGATATGAAGGTAGAAAGATTTAATGCCGTACTGTGAAACGTTCTCGACAAACAATAACATCTCCACGTAGAAGAACATTTGACAGACAATCCAACAGAAAAGTTACCGTATTTTTCGGACTATAAGGAGCACTTAAAAACCTTTATTTTTTTCATAAATTGACAGTGTGCTTTATGTATTAATTCTGGTTGTGCTTACTGACCTCGAACCGATTTTATGTGGTACACGATGTTCAAAAATCTCAAAAAGTGAGCTGTTTCTTTCAGTGCTTATAGTTTATTCATGCATGTGGTTTTAAGTTTCGCTTCTGTAAAACGTAAACAAATGTGCGCAAAAGCTGTTGCTGGCACGTTAACTCTAGGGCTGGGTATCACTGAGTGCGTATACATGCACATCAATAACCCGGTTATGATTGGGTTTTTTGAGTATCCCGGTTTCTTCATGGTGCATGTAAACACAGTAACCCGGTTTCAGTATCCCAGTTATGGCAGTATCCCGGTTATTAGAAACCGGGTTACTGTAGCTGGTTTATTCCGATAGTAACTGGGTTACTTGTGGCATGTAAATGCAGTACCCCGGTTAGTGCAACATAAAGTTGAGTCGCATGCGTCCAAAAGACACTTTCTAGTCTTTTCACCACAACAGTAGCGACATATAAATAAATTGACCAACATAAATAAAGTGACCAAACGAGTGAAATGACTATAAAATTAAGAGCTGCGCTACACCTGCACACGTACAATCTGCACTCGTACGACCTGCACTCGTGTGATCGCTGAAAAACTAAAACATGAACTATCTCCTATACAACACACGCACAGAACACACTTACCATCATTAGCGCCTCTTCTGTCACAGAAATAACACACATAATCCACTGAGTCGTGTCATTTAGTCCAAAAGAAACTGATCGCATCAGCGGCGCAAGGAGCGAGGTGATTTTAATCACCGCTAACAGTTTATGCTAATTAGCCAAACGGTCTTAACTTTCGTTTCTGTAAAACGTAAACAAATGTGATTAGAGCTGAATTCTATTATCAAACAGGCTGATGTAGCTCTACAGTGTTTATTTATATGTTGTAAAGTTGAGTTTATTTATGCAGAAGATTTTAATGAAGAATCTGTTGGGTTTGATTTGTGCAGTGGATTGTGGGAGATCTTATAGCTCTTTACCGCTGGTTAAACCTCCCGAGCTTCTTATGCTAAAGGAGCTCATGGTTTGTATTTTTCCTGGTTTATGAAATTGATGTAAGTTAATTTTTGCGCTTGCACACTTGTAAGATTATGTCAAGAAACCGGGATACTCCATTTGATCATATATACGCGGATATGAGTGTCCCGGTTTCTCAGTGTGCATGTAAACGCAGTATCCCAAATATTGATATAACCCGGATATGGCTAATAACCAGGTTATTGATGTGCATGTATACGCACTCATTAAGAAGTTGCTGATACGATACATACCTTGATACATAGGCCACAATACGATACATATCTCGATACAGTGAGCTTTCGATTCGATACAGTTCAATAAGAAATAATGGCTAAATCATGGCTGTGATACTGAAAGTCTTTGTTAAACCAATTCTTGTGCAAAGTTCATATGTAACACAAACATTTTAATCATCAAAGTGTCAAATGTGAAAGTGTCAAATGTGTCGCATAAACGGGTTCCTTTCCTCCGAACGAGTAACAAAACTGTAGCTCTGTAACAAAATAATTGAGTAAAATATACCAAAAACTACTCTTGGCGATATATCGATACAGCAGCCCACAATATCGATACTGTATCATCACATTAACCGATATATCGATATTTCAATATTTTTGCACACCTCTAGTTAATTCATTAATTTTGCGTTATCTAATTAATTCATTATCACCGACAATTATTTTTCTCCCTGTAACTCAGTTTTTATTATTTATTTATTTTTGGTGTAAATGTCTGTTGCTCACTGGCTTTTATTTTGAAAAAGTCCATCGTGAGCAAGCCTAGAATTGTTTACTGCTGCGGCGCTCACAGAAAACAGAGAGAAAGAAAGCGAGATAAACAAACATGGAGAAGGGTGCGGAACTTTTACATGATCACTTTCATTTTAAAGTTCTTTCACGCCGTGCAGTCATTTGTAACACTGCAACTCTGAATTGTCTTCTCACCGGAGTTTCACGACTCTGAAATATCACCTAAACGCAACACACTCTCCTGATGCAAATCATTCAGTGAAACTATTGGAGCGAGGCTTCGGCCGACCAACATGTCAGAGTCGTCACTCCACACGCATGCCCCCCTTCCCCTGGTCTCACTTTTATTCTGCAAGAAGCCAGTGCCACCAATCGCTGTCTTAAAGCTCACAATAGTCAAGTTTGTTTATATGGGACCTTTAATTTGTTTACATGTACTTTACCACAACAGTGTAGCCCGAGTACACAGTGCGGTATGTGTACTTGTTCTGAATACTGTGTGTGTGGGTTTAGTCACAGTGAAATGTCAGGTTTACTTTGGTCCACTTTGGTCCTGACTCATTTCTGGAGGAGGACACTTTTGCATTCAGTGACTCATTCAAAAATGAGCACTTACAATGAAGGCTCCAGTCCACTCACTTTGTATGGACTTCCTGTGTTACTATTTTATTTAAAACACAGACAGTGCAAAGAAAACATTAATTTCAAAGAGAAGATTAATTGAAGATTAATTTATTCTGTAACGGAGCCCTACAGCGCAGAGTCCTGCACGGGTCCATTTTTGGAGACCCGCACCCACCCGTTAACCCGAGATTATATCAAACTTTCATGCTGCATACGCCACGGACTGACCCAAGACTAAACCAGGACTAACCCAAGACTAACCTAGGACTGATTCCAGGACTGAAGAGGAGGACTAAACCAGAACTGATCTAGGACTAAAACGGGACTAAAACAAGAGTAAACCAGGACTAAACCAGAACTGAACCAGGACTCACTGTTGGGATGGGCTCGGGGGTGACTGCAGGAGAAAGGACAGGTGTTCCAGCGCAAACGTCTACCTGGCACTACCCGGCCGCATACCCGCTCGTAAAATTCCAGAACGTTAAAACCCGCCCGTTTCAGCAAATATTTGCAAGTACCCAACCCGGTGCAGGACTCTGCTACAACCACATAACTTCTCCCTTCCAGAAGTCCAACTTTTTGTACGATGGTTTGCGTCTTCCTCTGCCTTTTGGTGCGAGCGCAGGAGCCTTTGTCAGTGCAGAGCGTTTCGTCGACATTGTGGGTTTTGTCGGGGAGAAAACTTCTTCAGAATCTCACTGATAGCGATCAAACACTTATGTAAATTTGGCAGCTGAATGCATTTTGTCCTCTACAGGCAAGCCCCAGGGTTTCAAAACGGCCGCACATTCAAGTCAATGGGCCGAGCTCAAAGCCGCGTGATCCCAGATTCGCCTTTAGCCCGGCGAGGTTCTTCCGGTGGCTGTGGGCCGACCGAGCATGCGCAGTAGTGCTCTTTTCTCCGCACGCGACTGCACACACGGAGCGCATGATCTCATGTATCATGTGATCGCTTTGACCAATCAGAGCGAGAGGAGCAGAGCAGAGCTGGAGTTAACGATTATAAAGCGTTTTTTAAGACAACTGAAGGATTTTCAGCTGAGAAAAAGTTTATCATCTAAAAATAGGTAAAAAAATCACCACAAAATCCAACATTTTTGAAAGTTGTAGGTGCCCTGTCAGACGAACACGAGCAGTTTGTGATTACATTGCGAGAAAAATCTTGTCTCGGCCCAGAGGATTTTTTTCCGCTGTAGCACCAGTGAGTGACCACTACGTCAACTCGAGGCAGCTACAAGCAGCAACACCCTCCAGTTATTTTAATAGATCCATGCGTACAGGAGACACGGCACGGAGGAGACTGATTGACAGTGGTCTTAGCCAATCAGGACGCAGAGGGAGGAACACGATGCACGTTCATCCACTGTAAAACTGAGGTGAACTGCGTTATAGCGAGGGACGACTGTATAATACTCTAAAAGTACTACAGTAGTGCGTGGGTTGTACTTACTGCTACTCCTGCTCTTTTCTTGGACTTGGATTCTCTCCAGTTCAGCGAGGCACGGAGGCTCTGCGAGAAAAAAAAATACAAAATAAACAAGAAATGTGATGACAAGAGAAAAAAAAATCACTTCAAACTCCATCTGGGCCCGAGCGCTTCATAATCACAAGTATTGATCAGGCGGAGATGTGTAGTGTGGAGAAACGGATTTACTGAGGTGGAAAATGGAGAGATACAGTCATAGATGAGAGAGAGAGAGAAGAGGGAGGAGGGAGAGAGAGGGAGAGAAAAAGAAAAGGAGGGAGAGAGGAACGGGCAGAGCGAGGGGGGGTGAGAGAGAATGAGAGGGAGGGTGAGAAAGGAGAGAAAAAGAGAGGGAGAGAGCAAAAGGAGAGGAAAGAAGAGAGAGATGAGAGAGGGAGGTGGAGGGAGAGAGAGGAGGGAGACAGGGGAGAGGAGAAAGGAAGGGAGGGAGAAAGAAGAGAGAGAGAAGAGTGGGAGAGAGCGAGGGAGAGAAAAAAGAGAGGAAAGGGTAGGGAGAGAGAGGGGATGGAGGAGATAGAGAGAAAGCGAGAAGAGAGAGGGAGAAAGAGAGATGGAAAGAGAGAGAGTAAGAGAGAGAGTAAGAGAAAAAGTGGGAAACAGAGAGAGAGAGTAGGTGGGGGAGCGAGGGAGGGAGGGAGAAAGAGGGAGAGGGAGAAAGGAAGAGAGAAGAGGTTAGAGAGGGAAAGAGATAAAAAGAGAGGAGGGTGGAGGGACAGAGAGAGAGAGGGAGGGACAGAGAGGAGGAGGGAAATATAGAGAGAGAAAAAGAGAGAAGGGAGGGGGTGGGGAGAGAGAGAGAGATGAAAGGAAGGAGAGAGAGAGAGAGAGAGAGAGAGAGAGAGAGAAGAGAAAAAGAGGGAGACAGAGAGAGTGGGTGGGGGGAGAAAGAGAGACAATAGGAGAGAGAGGGAGAGAAAGAGGAAAGAGATAGGGGAGAGGGAGAAAGGAAGAGAGAAGCGGTCAGAGAAGGCGAGAAAAAAGAGAGAAGGGAGGGGGTGTGAGAGAGAGAGAGAGAGAGCGAGAGACGGAAGGAAGGAGAGAGAGGAGATATAGAGAGTGAGAAAAAGGAGAGAAAGACAAAAAGAGAGAAGAGAGAGGGGGCGTTAGAGGTAGAGAGCAAGGAAGAGAGGACGGGAGAGAGAAAGGGACAGAAAGAGAGACATAGAAAAGAAGGGAGAGAAAGAGGGGAAAGAAAAGAAAGAAAGAAAGAGGGAAACAACTGCAGAACTCTAGAACCTTTAGGCTCTATCATAATGTAAATCCAAATCTACTTAGAACAGTCCTGCCGTTCACTTTCCTCCAACCCCAGGCCCACATTAATCCTCCAGACGAGCGTTTACAGCGTGAACTTATAGATCTGTGCAGAGTCTAATCCACTGGACTCGGGATAAATGAAAAATCAATACAATAATAATCAGATACAAATGAGTTTCTCTGGGACTGTTTCCTGTTTTTATCCCAAAGGTCAAACCGCACAGAGAGGGACTAAAGTGTGAAACAACATCCGTCCGTTTTATAATGACTCTAAATCAGGCGTGAAACTGCGGAAATGTCAGCTCAGATGGGGTTCAGACAGTGACTTTTCGAATAAACGTAATATTGATACTGTGTTCCCTTTAAATCTTGTTTTTTTTTTTTTTTTTTTACTCACTGTCTCTCCTCCAGAAGCAGAGGCACCACTCGGCTCTGGACACGGCCCCGTCTCTGTTGGAGTCACAGGAGCTGAAGAAGGACCCCACACAGACCTCGTACTGGTCCAGGTTTATGGACTCCAGCTCAGACCGGTCCAAGGACTGGTCCAGGTCTGAGTCCAGGCGCGAAAACATCCAAGTGATCGAGTCTCTGCAGCTCATCTCCACACTCCTGTCCAACGCTGAGAGGGCAAGAGATAGATTGTAGATACATTTCATTTCATTTTACTTTATTTCTTTTTTTAAATAATGTTTTATTATTATTATTATTATTATTTATTTATTTATTTTTTAAATTTTATTTATTTTATAATTTTTATTTTATTTTTATTATTTTATTCTATTCTATTTTATTCTATTCTACTCTATTATTATTATTATAATTTTTTTTCTATTCTATTATTTCATTTCATGTTATTTTATTATGGACAGTGCAGATTAATCCACATTTCTGGTAGAAGTGATCAAGTCTCTGCATATTCCTGCCAATGCTGAGGGCGAAGAGAAGATCCTTTTTTAAAATTTATTTTAAATTTAATGTTATTTTATGTTAGTTTACAGTGCATATAAGTTCTTAGGACAGAAATGAACCTTTCCTGAAACTTTAGAATGATCTTGAGCTGCATCAGAACAAGTAAAAGAGCACATAGACTAGTATATGGACCACTATGGAACCTACCTGGACCAATGAGGGATTACACAGATATAGGGACACATGGGAATATACAGTTAAGAGTTCTTTCACACTGATAGTAGTTGGTGCATCAAATGTTCCATTTAAAACAGTGGCTCTTAGTTTGGTTTGTTTTCCTCGGTGTGAAAGCATCAATCGCACTTGGATCACTAAATCAAGCAGACCTCAAAATAGAGATGGTCTTGGTTCACTTGACTCCACACCAAATGCCAAACTCTGGTGCGGTCCCTCTGGTGTGAACGCGAACTCCAAACCACAGACAGTATGTCCAAACAAACTATCCGAAATGCATCATGGGAGGGGATACTAATCATTTCATTGTGGGCTCCGGTGGCCCAGTTAAGGGGTGTGACGGGGGCCGGGGTCGAGTCCGGACGCCTGCCCCACGGCTGGCGGTCCGTAAGTTAGTGAGTTCGAGCTCCCCGGGCCAAGGGGAGGGCCAAGGCTCTTAGGCAGGGTTCGAGAAATAGTATCTGCCAGGGCTCCATGGGAAAACCACAGGACGAGAAGGTGTGTCTTCCGAGAGGCCTGGCGTGCGGGAGAGCCTCAGCATCCCCGAGCCACGTGCAGTCGAACCCGCTGTGCGCTGGAGCCTTGGATATATGTCAATCTGACCAATTATGGTTTGTTTGCTAATGTGAAACTGGACCACACTGGAGTCTAGATGCGATAGAAGAACAGCTTTATTGCCTGGTGTGGACCAAATAATCGAACTAGCCGCATGAAAGCGCCCTAAGAGAAAGTACTATGATTTAATGTTGAAAATCACATTCTTTTTGTCTAAATAAATAGTGTTTTCCAGTTATCATCCTGGTATCAGAATCAGGCCCTGTCTACACTAGTTTGTATTCGAGTCATTTTCGTTGTGGATGCAGTGTTCGTTCACACTAATCTGATTGAAAACGGCTCCAGAGACGTAACGATCTGGTGCCATCAGCTTCCACGAATTCATCTGTGTACAGATCTGATCTGGCACTGTGTGGATGCCTGAAAATGCTGATACTCTGATGTAGGTCTGTGTGCCGTGAAGTAATTCACCGCCAAAACTCTAAGAGACTAGAATATTTGTCCATTCATATAAACGTGTGTCTGTGTGTACAATCTGCAGACGTATAATCTCTGAAAAGTTTAACATGAACCATCTCCAACACGACAGAAACACAGAACAGACTCACCATCAGCAGAACATCCCTCTGTCACAGAAAGAACACTCATATTCCACTGAGTCGAGTCCTTTAGTCCGAACAGAAGCTGAACCACATCAGCGCACAATAGCGAGCGTTTTTTTGAGCGCTCAGTTTATGCAAATGAGCCATGTGGTTTTAAGTTTCCTTTCTGTAAAACGTAAACAAATGTGCTCAAAGCTGGAAGGATTGCGGACACAGAAACAACGTGTCTGGACGGAGATCGTTTCCGATACGGTGATAAGCAGATTTGTGTCAGTGTAAACCGAGTCTCAGTTTTGAGTATTGAATCTATTCTTTAGTATCAACATTGAGTCTGAAATTTGAGTATCTTAACAACACTTCAAACTAGTAAACAAAAGTACATTCTGTAGTTACCTGTAGTAGTCGTAGTGCTCCTCTCCTCTCTGCTGCTGTCGTTCCTTTTGTTGTTTCCATGGAGAAGCTGAAACCAGTCTCTGAGTCTGTCCCCCAGGTCGGCCAGCTCCTCTGCGCTGCAACTCACTGCAAAAATCATGATAAATTACTGTAATAATAAAACTACACGAGGGTTTTGGATACATTTTATAAGCCAATATTGCTTAAAGGTGCACTGTGTAACTTTTTGGTTGTAGTTTGTCACCTGCTTGTTTCTATGCAGATGTCACTGCTCTGCCTGGAATGTTCCACAGTGTGACATTAAACAGCTCTACTTTACATTTATTCAGTTGCAGGTGGTTTTATAGCTCAAAAAAAACAAACAAGAAAAACAACATTCTGACTGTGAGCGGGGTCGCCTCTCCACAGATCTAACCTGTAACTTGGTTTAGTTTGGTTTCCATGAAGATAGAAAGGTTTAATGCCACACTGTGAAACATTCCAAACAGATGGAGAAAAGCATTTGATGAACCCTCCCCCAGGAAATTTACATGACGCGCCTTTAATGTTTTGCCTGGAATGTTCCACAGTATGGCATTAAATGGAGACGGGCAGGTGACTCCGCCAGGCCAAATTACAGGTCACAACTCAAAGAATGCAGGTTTTTCAAGGTATTTATGTAATAACAACAACAACACCTGTAATTGAAGAAATCCGAGCTATTGCTGGGTTTCAGATGACGTCACGTTGACGTCAGAAAAAGCAGAAAGACGCATAGAACCCCGTTTACCTCCATTTACTCGGCGCCAAATGCTTAAATCCTGTCTATGCTGCAGCTGCTCTAATCTGGAGAAAGACAAAAAAAAATGTTTCGTGTAAAAGTGCTGTGTCACAATTGTGTACCTGATTCATCAACCGGTTTCACTTTGTAGAAACCGTCTCACCTTGCAGCGTTAGAATTCGTTCACGTGACGGTAGGCGGGTACTTTTTTAAATTTAACCAATCGCTACTATATGGTCATGATGTGTGTAATGTGCCACTAACGGGGCTTTTCCCAAATCTGTAGGAAGAAGGACAATAACATCTTTCCCCTTGATAAAATTCACCAAACATTCTCTTTGTTCCGGCTCTAAATCCTTGATCTCGGGAACCGTTGCCAACACAAAATGTCTGGCTCGTCGCTTCCAGGGTTATTACAAACCGTCTGGTGTATTCCGATTCCTGACCTTGTTGCTGGAGAGAAATGAAATTGAGCGGAGGCACTAGGTGGCGCCAGTCTGGCTAGAGTCACAAGAGAGTTAGCTTAAAAAAACAACAAAAAAGACGACAAAAGTGGATCCTGCCCCCATCTGAATTTCACGCGTCATTAGGGTCACATGAGTTAAACATAAGTTAATGCCGTACTATGAGCAAAAGGTGTATCCCCCTTCAGAAAAGTTCCATAGTGCACCTTTATATGTCACACCATGGATTCTTGTGAGCTTTAAGGCATGTTATAATGTTGTTGCATCAAATGAAAGAGAAACACACACCAAAGTTCTTCTACAGACACAAACACAAGGAACAGCAATTTAAAAAGTGAAAGAAAGCATCACGCACTCAGATGGCCGATGTCCAAAAGCTTCTTTACATTTTTAAATAATGTTTCTGCAGAAAGCCTTTGTCAGATAATCATTCTTGCTTTGTGTTGTTGCCAGAAACAGAAACAGACCTGGAATTGTGTTTTGTTTCATTCACATGTTTGAGTAACTCTTTATTATTAGTCGGTCTACAAACTAATAAAGCTCGAAATGCTCTGTTTCACCTTGTGATGTCATATAGTGGTATATTGGTAGGAGGTAGTTTTCAAGTTTTACCTTTAGTTCAGTAGAGATGGGAATTTGTGGCAATTCCTGGGCTGAAAACATCTTAAAGATTCTAGTGAACATGTATAAATCTGCAGGTTTGTGTGTTAAATATGTGTAAATAAAACAAAACACAACTCCAGGTCTGTTTGTGATGAGAAAACAACATTATAACATTAAGAAAATCATGTAATATAAACTCTTTAATGGTCCTTGCCTTGTTTGGGTTGTGAGTTGGTGGTTGAGGCGGCGCAGGGGCAGAATCCAGAGCACAGGATGTTTAAGTCTTTTCCAGTGAGACAGGCTTGCTGCTGGAGCTTACACTGGGACAAAACAAACAAGAAAAACAGGATTATAGAGAACACCTCTTTAAATGAAATAAAAATCACAACTGAACCAGATATGAGACATTTTCAGAACTTCAGCTCAGAAGACGACTCACAGCCAGCAGCCAGAACATGTCAACATAATAAATAACTACCATATTTTTTGGACTATAAGGTGCACTTAAAATCCTTTAATTTTCTCAGAAATCTACAGTGAGCCTTATAATCCGGTGCACTGTATGTATTAATTCTAGCTGTGCTTACTGACCTTGAACTGATTTTATGTGGTACATGGAGCTCAAAAATCTGTTAAACTGTAGTACGACTTTGGTAAACTACAAAGCCTTGATGGATTGTCGAAGCATTACAGCTACTGTAGTCAGGAGACTCGTGGAGTGAGTGAGTCGTGTCTTTTAGTCCAACAGAAGCTGAACCGCATCAGCGCACAAGGAATGAGCTGTTTTTTTCAGCGCTTATAGTTTATGCAAATGAGCCATGTGGTTTTAAGTTTCGTAAAACGTAAACAAATGTGCGCAAAGCTGCATTAAACACATTATTACTCAATGTATATTTCAGTTGTCCTTGCAGAAAATAAAAAAAACAAACTTAAATGATCCACCCACATTCACATTCATCATCGACATTCACCAAGACAGGGAGGAAACACCGTGTGACTTACACCACGATCTGTCGATGGATCGTGGACGCCTGGACTAAGGATCAGTCTCAAGTGTCGTCCATTTGTTTTGTTTAATGTGACTTATAATCTGGTGCAACAATATGAAAACAGACGAGCAAATTCAATATTATTGATATTGCGTCTTATAATCCGAAAAATACGGTACATCTCCTAAATGTCTAACTGTTCAGCTTCGACTGTGTCCAAATGCCCACACTACTTCACTATTTAACTCTATTATTACTCCAGACTGTCGATGTAAATGTCTGTGTCAATAGAATAAGTTTAGAAGTAAAACTAACCTTGCATTTGAAGGATTTATGTCTGAGCAGCAGCAGTGAGTTGTTCTTCCTGATAGAAAGCTCGGCATTGGCGGACTGATATATGAGAAAATAGTCCCTCAACATGCGACGATTCATGAGATGAAAGGTTAGTATTATTTCCAACATTATTCTATAAACACAGACATTTACATGGACAGTCTGGTGTAATAATAGATTTGCTTCGGGTGTTTTGTGGAGTGGGTAAGACTGTTTTTAGTGGCAGGATAACTATGGCCATTGACATGCACTAGTCTAACACCAGTGACCTCTGCAAATAAAAGGACTGGATGGAATATTTAAAAAAGTGTCTCCACACGTCTCCAACACTCTGACTCACTAGGAAATGAGGCCCTATGTCCAAAATTCCAGACTGTTCCTTTAACAGAATCTATTTATTAGCAGGAGCTCGCGATACCTGACGATACACAAAAATTTCTCAGGCACCCATATTTTCCCAAACTCTTGCAATGAAAAGCATTTACAACGGATGTCGGGAGAACTGACAAGGATTTTGCAACTACCGTCATTCAATAGAATTCGACATAAGTCTTAAGGTCGTTTTCAATACGTGTATCATTTGTTCATTCATTATTTGTCTCCAAAACTAAAATGAAAAAACGGATAATGATTCATTTTTTCAGTTTTCGATTTTGTGTTTAAATGAAAAATGGGAAAAACAGATAACGGCCGTTTACTTGACTTAAACTGCGAAGCCGGACTGAACCATTTTCAGTCCTGGTCTGGTCTCAGTTTCAGTTCTGGTCTCAATCACGGTCTGGTCCTGGTCTGGTCCCGGCCTCAGTCCTGGTCTCAATCCTGTTCCTGGTCACAATCCCGGTCTGGTCCCGGTCTCACTCCCAGTCTCAGTCCTGTTCCTGGTCACAGTCCTGGTCTGGTCCCGGTCTCAGCCCCAGTCTCAGTCCTGGTCTAAGTCCTCGTCTCAGTCCTGGTCTGGTTCCTGTCTGGTCCTGGACTTGGTTCAGTCCTGGTTCAGTCCGTACACGGCGCAAAAGTCCGGCATCGCAGTTTAAGTCACGGAAACGGGAAGTGGAGACAAATAATAAAGTAAATGTTTTTTTCGTTTTCTTATTTTTGGTTTTATATTGAAAAACGAATAAACGAATAATACACGGATTGTTTTCACACCCGTTACCGCGCTCTCTGACCTCACTGAAACTAAATTCAGTTCTGTTTACTTCACTTTTGGGTCGGTCTTGTTCACACACACACAGCATCATTCAGCCCAAACACCGTGAGCCGTGTGAGAGTTTGATCTGAGGACTTATTTCTATGACAATGCTGAACACTGTGTTTTTTTCTTTCACTTCTTTTTGTTTCTTTCTAAATACTCTGTGAGGACTGTACGCACTGGTGACAGCAAAGAAAATATGTTGTCTAGAGAATCAAAACCAAGGCCAACCACTCTGCCACACGCTGTACAAACCTCAGAGGCGTAGTTGTGTCCATCAGAGCCACAGACAGGAGCAGAGGAGACAGGACAGGCTCTGCACCTGCCATGAGGAGACTCCTGTTTCACCCTGCTACACAAAAAACACATGTCTGTTTTTAATTTTTGGAACAGGCCCGGTGTGATGTGGATTTTTAAATACATTTTTGGTAAAACAAAACGCGATGTTGTAATGTTGTTTCCTCATCACAAACAGACCTGGAGTTGAGTTTTGTTTCGTTCTCACACTTTGAGCTTTGGAAATGTAAACAGACTAATAATTAAGTGTTACTCAAACATTTGTGAATGCAACAAAACAGGATTGTGTGCATATTTTCTGAGTTTAGCAAACAGCTTGATAACATCTCTACACAAACCAGAAAAGTTACATACCCAGCTCACAAGAAGAAAGTATGTTTTTAAAGATGTTTGTGCAGATAAAACCCTGTATTTATTTTAGCTTTTATTATTTAAAGGCACAATTGCCACGTGTACATGAGCGTTTTAATTCCGAATAAAAATTAATCCTGCCTTTAAAAGACCATGTAAACACTTAATTTCTAATGAAAATTATTATTCAGAATTAAACTTAATTTCGAAGTAAGTGGGTGGTTTATTCCGAATTTAAAGCCGAATTTATTTATTCCTCGATCATTTAAACCAGGGGTCCCCAATCCCCGTGCCATGGACCGGTACTGGGCCGTAGATCGATTGGTACCGGGCCACGAAAGCGTGAACCCTCCTCCCATAAGCCACATGGACTGTGCCTCCTCCTGTGTTTCCAGAGCCTCTAAACCAGAACTACAACCAGGACTAAACCAGGACTAAAATCAGGTCTAAAACCAGGACTAAAAATGATTTAACCAGAACTAAACCAGTCTGATTCATCAGCCTGACTCTGAGTCTGACCTCGCAGTATTAGGATTCATTCGCTCGACGGTAGGCGGGTACTTTTTTTATTTAACCAGTGGCTGATATTTGGTCGTGACGTATGTGTATGTGTAATGCACCAAATCCTGTAGGAAGAAGGGCAATAACATCTTTCCCCTTGACAAAATTCACCAAACATTCTCTTTGTTCTGGCTTTAAATCCTCAAATCTTGCGCAGTACGGGGTTCTTGCAAACAGTCTAGTGCAGGCATGTCCAAACTATGGCCCATGGGCCACATGCGGCCCTCAGACAAACTTTTCTTGGCCCTCAGGCTTGGAGTTGAATTGGTCCAAATTACATGGCATCAATTAGAAATTAACTTTTTACTGCAAGTTTTTTGAAAATCTACTTTGATAAAGCTGATATTTAATATTTATTGTGTGGTTTTAAGGATCTTAGCATGAATAAAGATTGATTAATTATTCTAACGAGTTAAACATGCACATATTTCAATTATTCACTGTACTGAGTCTATGGCTCTCGATCAGCCCTCTGCTTCATCTGTGTTTAGATATGTGGCCCGTGATGAAAAAAGTTTGGATACCTCTGGTCTATTGTATTCTGATTCCTGACCTTGTCACTGGAGAGAAATGAAATTGAGTGGAGGCACTAGGTGGCGCCAGCCTGGGTAGAAAAGAGCCCCTCCCAATCCTTCAGATATTGTCAGACATAAAACTGGTCCATGGCGCAAAAAATGTTGGAGACCGCTGACTTAAACGTTTATTCTTCTTAAAAATAATTCCGGTCGTTCAGTGCATGCTCGTTGTGTCGCCCTTCTGAGATCCGGACGCTTCGGCTCCACCAGTCCTGGCTTTTGACTTTCCTCCACGTCTCATTGGATTTGTGAGCAGGATACAGGAGTGGGCTGACGTAGAGCAGCCGTCGACTCAGTTTGTTTAATGTACAGAAACATTAAACTCATAAAAACTGATGTCCTGCACCAGATTAAACATTTGAGAGAAGAACTCAGCCTAAATACGCAGGTTTGTGTGTTAAACATGAAACAAAACACAACTCCAGGTCTGTTTGTGATGAGGAAACAACATTATAACATCAGAAAACAGCGTAATATGAGCCATTTAACTGATTTGTTTTGATTCGTTTTGTTTGTTTTGAACTCACCTGTGCTCCAGTTTCTTACGGTGGACGCACACGGCTCTCTGAAGCCCTTGAGCAACGCACACTTTATGACGACTGCACCTCACACTCCGGCACGGGTCCTTCGTCGTGTCCGCTAAAAAAAACAAAACAAAAAAAAGTTTTAAAATAAACATATGTACAACAATATTCCCTGGAGGGTGCAGCTAACTGGAGGCACTGCTCTGTCTGAAGCTCTGTTACTCAAGCGACTTCAGTTGTATCTGAGTGGTTTTCATTTGTCAAAACCCAAGTTTCTCCAGCTAGAATTGACCAGGTGGTATCGTGAGAAGGTTGATATCAGGGCTTTTCAAATCGGGTGAATATGAGACTCACCTGGTTTAGACCTGGTTTTAGTCCTGGTTTAGACCTGGTTTAGTTCTGGTTTACTTCTGATTTTATTCCTAGTTTTAGTCATGGTTTCAGTCCTGGTTTAGACCTGGTTTTAGTCCTGGTTTAGTCCTGGTTTAGACCTGGTTTAGACCTGGTTTAGTTCTGGTTTTAATCCTGATTTTTGTCCAAGTTTAGTCTTGGTTTTAGTCCTGGTTTAGACCTGGTTTATGCGTGGTTTAGACCTGATTTAAGTCCTGGTTTAGTCCTGGTTTTAGTCCTGATTTAGATGGTTTAGACATGGTTTTAGTCCTGGTTTAGTCCTGATTTAGACCAGTTTTTTTTGCTGGTTTAGACCTGGTTTAGTCTTGATTTTAGTCCTGATTCAGTCCTGGGTTTAGTCCTGGTTTAGACCAGATTTTCTTGCTTGTTTAGACCTGGTTTAGTCCGGATTTTAGTCCTGATTTAGTCCTGGGTTTAGTCCTGGTTTTTGTTCTGGTTTAGACCTGGTTTAGTCCTGGTTTTAGTCTTGGTTTAGTCCTGGTTTAGTCATGGTTTTAGTTCTGGTTTTCATCCTGAGTTTAGTTCTGATTTAGACCTGGTTTTAGTTGTGGTTTGGTCTCGGTTTAGTCTTGGTTTTTGTCCTAAATTTAGTCCAAAAAGGCAAAGAAGGTGACGCTCCAAACTATGAGTATGTTCTCAGAATTACAATTGAAAACCGCTGGTCTATATCATGATTCTTTTCTAAAAATTCTATAATTCGGCTCTGTGCCCAAAACTCAAACACAATAAAAAACTAAACGACGAACATATGTACAAATACATACAACAGATCCTTTAAAGATGTGTTGTGTACTTTTTCAGGTGGAAGGTGTTTTTTAAGTTCGGAAAATGCAAGTTGCTTTTTGGCATTTTCCGAGTGCTAAGACTTGCCTTACAGCCACTCAAAGAAGATTCTTGTTAAAAAAAAAAAAAAAGATAAAAATGCAAAATTAAACTGGTTTCATGAGAGTTACACAACAGTTTAAAAGCCCTGTAGCACACCTGAGTTTTACTGTCTTAATTTGGGTTCGGGTTAATTGTGTAACTTTTCTGGTAGAGCAGGGGTGTCAAACTCATTTTGGTCCAGGGGTCGTATCCAACCTACTTTGATCCCAAAGGGGCCGGATCAGAAAACTCATGTCATATAAACCCCAAAAATAACAATACGTTATCTAAATCTATTACAGAAATCTTTTTTTGATTGATGAACTCTTTCTTTTACCAAATATTATAATATTATGAACAACCTGAAACTTAAAAAAAAAATCCAATTTCAACACAATGTTTTAACATGAACTTGTGTGCAAATAGGATAAGTAAATTTTTCTTGGAAAATCCTGCACTCGGCTCCACTTTTCTCATGTTGGACATTTTTCTGATGAGGGTGTCACGGTCAACAGTCAAAACAATCGTCCTTTAAGAGCGTTTGGAAAGAGACAAGTCTTCATTTGTGCTGCTCTGGTGGGAGGGGCCACGTACAGAGACGCTGGAGACGCTGCTGTGATAAACACCACAGAAAATTAACAAGATTTTAATAGAAAATATAATTAAAATATTTTAGTAGAAAATCAGCCGAGGGCCAGATTAAAGGTCTTGGAGGGCCAGATCTGGCGCCCGGGCCGCATGTTTGACACCTGTGTGGTAGAGGGTCCGTCAAATGAATTGACTGGGGCAGTGCCGGGGCGTCTCCAAACGGCTTAAACCCCGCTTCTCTGCTGCGGTTCTCACGGAGCCCTGTACGTACACACTCTCTCCCACATCCCACTGAGTCCCACTCATAAAGAACAGTCGTACATGTGCACCTCACGGCTCTGCGTCGCTCTGTGCTTTTCCCTTCTCTCCAGTTCTTAACCCATTACACAGTGAATAAAGAGTGTTATAAAACAGAGTAGGCTACTATATGTAACGGTGATTACATGGTATTTTATTCCACTTGTCATTACATTTATTGGACTAATATATTCTGGTTGAGTAGCGCCCCCTTGTGATGACCGGTAGTGATAAGTGCCCCTGGCGCCAAGAGCACGTTGCCAGTTCATGAGAGACGGGCACGAGGTGTGTCACTGAATTTAGCTCTGTCAGTAAAATCATGTATTTCTGTTTAATTACTCATTATATGATCACAGCTTAATTGCACAACCTATTTATGTCATCCAGAACATTTATGAGCTAATATTTTGTATAATGTATGAGTTATTACACAGTAATGGACTTTTACACATGTTGTGACAGAAGCAAACTTTCTTAAGCTAATGTGACTTGCTATCCTTGTAGAGCTGCTCGCCGTGTTGAGCCGAGGTATCCTGACCAGTACATATTTTGTTACATGCAGGTACGTTTAATTTTATTGTAAAAATGTTCAGGTAAATGTTTATTACATAGGCCAGTTCATGAGAGATGTGCACGAGAATACTGCTCGCCGTGTTGAGCCGAAGTATCATCAGTTTCATGCAAACTAAAACTGCAAAAGACAGCTCCGTGTCCTGGGCATTTATTCACAACACAATTCAGATAAACTATACGACAAACAAAAGACAAACAGACGGGTTATTCCTACAACCAAGCTGGGCTTATGCACGGCCAAGTTCAGCTCGGTTACATATACACAGTTCAGTTATAACTCCAAATGCACACCCAAACGAACGCACAGCTGATCCTCATGTTTCTTGTATTCTGTGCTTTATATCAAAGGCAGTGCAGGGAACACATGCTCTTATTTTCATGAATAACTTTACGCTTTTACTACGAGATTACCTGGATGGAGGAGGTATCACATCTTTATGCAAAATGCATTCCACACTGGATATTTACCAATGAGGAGCATGATTTTGGCAGAGTTTTGGTCCATATAATCTGTTTGTCTCAAATTTTACGTGGACACTGGAGACTGTGACTGGATGCGGATTTAATGTTACGCACTTTGGCTTTTAGACAAGTCCAATTTATGGTTGTGCGTCAAATCGTCTGCATTGAGATGGTGAGAGTTTGCGTTGCCTTGAATCCCCCTCCACAAAGCGTCTGTGTCGACTGATGTGCACCTCAGAAATTTTGTAAGTACATGTCAAACCAACACAGACAGGAAGGGGAAGTGACGCAGACAATCAGGGCTGTGATTGGTTCTCTCAACATCCTCTCTCTGTACATTTCTGGTCCTCCACTTTCCTGCTTCATTTTGTAAACACCATCGCAGTTTTAAATCCAAGCCTCCTACATTTGCACAGAGCGCAGTCGTACCGCGTGAACATCTGCACTGCTGATAAACTGATGAGGTGTATGTGTTGGCTCAAATTAATTTCAAACAGACATTAGTTTTTAAGTACTTACCGGACCTTTTCAGTCAGTTCCTACTTGGAAGTGAGTTTCAGTACCCAGCCCTGCCTGTTCTATGGTGTTCTTTCTAAACCTGTGGGTGAGGGTCCAAGGGAAGGACGCAGAGAAGCTGTATATTTTAAAGCTCATATAAAGCCTGCATTTCCTTTAACACATTTTCATCAATTCTGTAGAAATAATTACATAAGACTGTGGCACCTGCTGATAGGACTTCTTTTTTCTATGTTTACACTGTGGAGTGTAATATGAAATGACATACAGTAGTTGAGATTCTGCAAAATAATCACCCCACAGAAAGGAAAAAGTATGACTACATATTTACCCACTGTGGTCAGGTTATGCTGCGATCCATATGGAAAAAAACAAACAAAACAAAAACGTTTTTATAGGACTTTCCATATATTAAAAACAATAAATAAATTGTTTTACCGGGCAAGTAGATCTGGGTGTCAGGCAAGTAAAAAATGGTGGCCGCTTTCCTGTTGGGCAAGTACTTAATGTTATGTTTAAGTAAGAATGTTTAAAGTCGAGCCCTGACATGTCCCCGGGGAGAAACTGCAGAGATAAAAGACCCAGACTCACTCCCTTCACACACACAGTCGACTTTGGGCATTGACAGCTCCTCTGCAAACAGTGAGTACAAACTATTGGAAAGGATTCATGGATATAGATAGAGACAGATGTAGACAGATATAGATACAGATAGATAGAGATAGAGATATAGATAGAGATATAGAATGGCCTATTGTCATGTGTTGGAAGTAGATTTTGTTTCTTCAGTTGACATTGTTATTTTGACCTTTTTTTATGGGCCCAGGTTATAGTTAATTTTGAAAAATTTTGGCTGTCTCATGTTTTTGAGACTCAGAGTTCGAGGAGCTCTGAGTTTGACTAGACCAGTGCTTCTCAAATAGTGGGGCGCGCCCCCCTGGGAGGGCGCGAGGCTCCGTCAAGGGGGGCGCGTTTGACCTCGGGGAGCATGCTTTTTATTTTGATTTTTTTTACTGTCTTAAGGGCCGTTCACACCAACGCGTCAAAAAACGCCTTGACGCCTCTATTTGGAGCCTTTGCATTTGAGTTTAGACGCCCCCGACGCGCATCTTTGACGCCGTGGACGAACGGGACAAAAATACTTGACGCGCGTCCGTTGCCCTGGAAACAAAAGCCCGGTCCCGCTCTTTTCCCGAAACAATGTCAGACCAGACTGAGAGAGTGTTTTTATGACATAAAACATCAACGGAGGAGATCGGGTCGACGACTGGGGCGGATATATATTTCTACTCCGCTAATGACACTGGATCAGTCCCGGTCTAGTCCTGGTCTAATACCGGTCTGGTCCTGGTCTAATCACGGTCTAGTCCCGGTCTAGTCCTGGTCTAATCACGGTCTAGTCCCGGTCTGGTCCCGGTCTAGTCCCGGTCTAGTCCCGGTCTAGTCCTGGTCTAATCACGGTCTAGTCCCGGTCTAGTCCTGGTCTAATCACGGTCTAGTCCCGGTCTAGTCCCGGTCTAGTCCTTGTTTAGTCTCGGTCTAGTCTCGGTCTAGTCTCGGTCTAGTCCTGGTTTGGTCCTGGTCCGGTCCTGGTTTAGTCCTCGTGATCGACTCGGTGATTGTGGCGTATATATTTATTCTCCGCTCATGTTTGTGGTTCTCGTTCTGGTTCTCGGGTCTTTCTTCCTGATAATAACGTCGCTGCGTCTCTGGATACTCGTCCCTGATTGGTTGACGCGGCGCGTCTGACGCGAAAAGTTCAGCATTTTCCACTTCTTGACGCTGACGCCTTGGATGCGCGTCTTGGCCGCTGACGCCAAAACGCTGAAGACGCGCCGCGCTGACGCCAGATTCGCGCCGCGCTGACGCCGAAAACGCGCCGCAAAACGCAGGACGCTCTAGTTGCGCGTCCACATAGACTTTACATAGAAAGTGGACACTTTGACGCTTTGGTCTGAACGGGCCTTTAGAATAAAGTGCAATTGCACTTCCACTACATTAGGGGGCAGTGGCGCTCTCATTGGCAGAGTGTTGCACAGGGAGCATTCGCTCGGTGGTGTAGGAGTTTTGTTTGCACTGAGCATGCGCGCTTTGCACACAGCACAGAGTTTGAGTATGAAGTGTAGACACGAAGTGTAGCAGACCCTCAAGTGACACCATGAAAAAATATTTAACAGGGATGAGAAGACAGGCGGAGAGAGACGGAGATAAAGAGACAAACGAAAATCTCCCGAAAGCTAAGACGAGGAAATATGACGAAGCGTATGTAGCGCTTGGCTTCACTGTGACTACGGTGGGAAAGACCGGTGTGCTTACTGTGTCTAAAAATGTTGGCAGCCGACAGCATGAAGCCCAATAAATTAAGGCGTCACTTAAATACATTACACCCCAATCACTCTGATAAGCCGGTTGAGATTTTTCAGCGAAACATGCCGAATATTGCCGACAATCATCCCGCTTTGTGACTGCTACTTCAGTAAACCAGCGAGCATTGTTGGCGTCATATAAGGTGGCAGTGTTACACACGGGGGGGGGGGGGGGGGGCACGAGATGTTTTATTCGTCCTAGGGGGGCATGACAGAAAATAATTGAGAAGCACTGACTAGACTGACCTGAGGAGCTCTGAGTCTGACTAGACTGACCTGAGAAGCTCTGAGTTTGACTAGACTGACCGGAGGAGCTCTGAGTTCGACTAGACTGACCTGAGGAGCTCTGAGTTTGCAGAACAGGAGATAAAAAATTGGGTGAATTTTTACAGACATGGACGATGTGCACAGGAACAGACGACGTTTGTTGACTAAGATTAACATCAGTTTGGTCAAATTGTTGTAATATTTGTTTGTTTTTTGTCTTGCAGCAGACGCGTCATCATGTCTGCACTCCAGGGGGCGATGGCAGCACTGATTGGGGTGTTTCATGAACACGCCGGGGGGAATAGAACTCTCGATAAAAAAGAGCTGGCTGCACTTTTAAAGAAAGAGTTTGAGGGCTTGGTGAGTAGCCTGTGGGATGTCTGTTATGTTTGGGCACCTTTTCCCTTCAGACAGATCAGTGCCTTCAGTTAGCTTCATAATCAATCGACTGAAGATATTTATTTACTTATTTTAAAACGAGACAAAGACTTATTTTAAAACGAGACAAAGCACATAAACTCCTCCCACAAACAGCAGTCTTTTGTGATGTCACGTAGCACTGAAAATGGCCCCTGCAGGCTCATCCTGCACAGCAACATGGATTCACATGATATTTGTGAGTCACAAACTCACAAGACTTTGGCCCTCGCTGGTGCGACAGGGCCCGGCAGGTGCAGGGCGACCAATCACAGAGCAGCATTGAGATGTGGGCGGAGCCAAAGGCCAAGCCCTCAAACGAACCAAAACAAACATGGTGACGCCAACAGACGTACCTCAGCCTATTTTCATGTCAATTCAACACTTCGACCTGTCACATATAATCATGACATTTCACGTTTCCCAGGCTGATGAAGTGTAGAACTAAATTCAGAGTGAAATGAAACGAGATAATGTTATTAAAACACCATATAGAGACCTTGCATATGACGTCACGGCCTTGCCCTGATGCCCTGACCGCCCTTGTAACGTTAGGACATTTTCGAGTTATTCCTTTAATTTTCACATTAAGACACACGCCGGAAAAGTGTTTAAATCCATGTTATTTGGACAATCCTGAAACCTAAGCCTTCTCTTCTCTTCTTGTTTTCAGGCCTCTAATAACCCAGAAAGCAGTGGATCAGATTTTCACTGGTCTGGACCAGGACGGCAGCGGATCTGTGGACTTCACAGAGTTCGTGACCATGGTGGCCGCTCTCACCGCAGCTACCAATGAGATGTTATGTGAAAAATGAACCTGAATCATAATGGAACAACTGAATCATAATGGAAATCAACAACATATTAAACATTTAACACGTAACACAAGATGTTAGGTAAAAAATAAACCTGAATCATAATGGAAATCAACAACATATTAAACACATTTAACATTGGGGAGTTGTTTCTGTTGTTTTAAATGACTTTGGAATGAAAATGAGTCAGTATTTGTATGTTTCAAACCAGAGAGGGTTGTCAAAGTCTCGATAATAAAAAAGTCACGTTCACAGGACAGAAATGAAGCTTTTCTGAAGCTTTAGAATGATCTTGAGCTGTTTCAGAACAAGTATAAGAGCACATAGACTATTTTACGCTTACAGAAGCTACCTGGACTGCTGAGGGATTACACAGATATAAAACCACATGGGAATAGAAAACAAAGTTGAGGTAGAGTTGAAGTGTAAAAGGACGATAGACTGCACCAAAAATAAAAGTGAAATCTATAAAAACATATTAGTACATTGTTTTCAGCTAAGACAGCATTTTCAAAAAAAAAAAAAAACCCTTCTTTAACATCTAAATAAAGTTATTAGTTAAATAAATATAAAAATTGTAATGATTTTTAAACAAGCGACAAAATTTGCACACCACAGACACGAGGAGATTCATATGAGATATTAAATCTCCGATCACAAACACTGCAGTGGGATACATCTGCGGAGCACAGTCGCGTCAGCTGTGTCCTGTCTTCAGTAAAATAAAAACTCGCTTTGAGACTCTTAATTGTTCAAAGGATCAGAGCTCTGCACTTCGAGTTCAGATACAAGACAAAACTGTTATTATTATTTGTGAAATGTGGTGCAAAACTTCAGATACGTGATTTTAAATTCACAGAAGGTTGGCGATAAAGTCGAGTCCAGACCTGCAAACTTGTCGCTTTTTGGATACAGTCGCCTTTTTCTTGATCAATTGGGTCATTCAAGTGAATCACATAGAACCTGCTCTAGTTTGGAATTAAAATATTGTCCTTCGAGTTTACATGGAAATAATAATTCTGAATTGAGGTTTACGTGGAAAACACATTAAATCGGCTTTATTTAATTCCGCTGAGCGTCTGGGGGTGGGGAAGTGTTCTGATTGGACAAAGACACCAATGTATTTACGCCGACCAGAAGAAAACACACACTTCAGCTGCTACAGGCTTTTTTGTCATCTCGGTTTGTTGTTATGCATGAGGATACACCCATACAAACTGGGGAACAGTGGTCCAAACCCAGACTCCTGAACCAGTGGGAGCAGCTCCGGTTCATGTCTGGCCCAGATGAGCTGGAACGGGGAGTGGTGTTTGGTGCCTCGGCCTGAGAAACGCTTTCCCCGGGAAGAACCAATTGCGTGAACGGACGCTCAGAACAACATATAATCAACCAAATGGGATTCGCGCTTCTGTCAGGATGTTTTGCATCACCTCGGAACCTGTCGCTGTCCTCGAGCACGGAGGACACAAGCGCATTCTCACTTTCGCCGCACAGATCCCGTGCACAGAGGACAGCACAGAACCGCTCTGACCCAGTCCATTTGGCACTGGAGTCCGGTCAAGTGGTAACGGAGGGAAATAGGGGCAGATTTTTTACATTCAAATGTCTCTTATTCAGAAACTAGAGGGACTATTGAAATAAGTAAAGTATCAGAATGTAGGAAAGAGTTAACACTCCAACAGGGTAAAGTTAAACCTGTGATATTCTTTCAAGTTGTTGACAAAAAATTTAAAAAACTCATGTCGGTAACGGAGGGAATGAAATATGCAGCACTTTTTGGGCAATAAATCCAAACAGTGATAACTCTTGGTTCTCACTTACATATCCTTAACAAACTGGTTTGAATATTTGCTTCATATAGTTTTCTACCATATGGTACAAGATTAGGTTGAAAAACCTCTTATTTTTTGACTAATGAGATTTTTTATTAAGAAAGGTCATGGTAACGGAGGGAAAAGTAACGGAGGGAAAATTGTGCAAACAAGTAGAAGGTGCATGATTTTACATCATTCGTCACCTTTTTTCTTCCGAATACTTTAATATTACTTCAAAATGAAAGGAAACTATTTCTATAAAATATGTCAGTCCTTCCAAGCAAATTTTTATCATTTTAAATACTTTTTTTTTTTTAAATCATGTACCTTCATCAACAGTTCAAAGATGGAATAACACAAGATATGATGAAATACATCCATTTATTTACATGATTTGCAGGTCTTTGAAATTTGGGAAATAATTTTTGCTCCATGTTTCATACATGGTCTGTTTAAAACGTATGGAAATTTAGAACCAAAAATGGCACAGAAAAAAGGTCAACAGTTTCATAAACTAGAGTACATATGTATCTGTTGAATACATTTTTATATCAGATGCATCAACTTGAATTTTTGGCCTTCCTGTTTACTTCTGCTTGACCAGGCCCACTGGTCTTGTTCGCCCCCGTCTTATTTTTTAAGAGGAATAAATGATATTAACATGATCACGGAATAAATTAATTCGGCTTTAAAATCGGAATAAACCACCCACTTAATTCGGATTTAAGTTTAATGTCATGGCTGGTGCTCCCCTCCCTGTGTGTGTGTGAATGTGTGTGTGTGGGCGGAGTCTCCTGGTCCTGATTCATCGCACCTGCAAGCAATCAAGAGCCACTACTTGACCCCTGCTCACCTGTGAGACCCTGCCAGATTGTTTCCTATCTTCACACGGTGAACCTCTTGGCTCCTAGATTCTACGTTTTTGCTGCTTGCCTTTTGCCGAACATTTTACTTACTTGCGTTCTCTGCCCTTCAGTGATCCCTGCCGCCTCCAGCCCTGCTCCAGCCCTGCTCCAGCCCTGCTCCAGCCCTGCTCCAGCCCTGCTCCAGCCCTGCTCCAGCCCTGCTCCAGCCCTGCTCCTGCCCTGTTTCTGTCCTGCCTCTGCCCTGCTCCAAGCCCTGCTCCTGCCCTCATTTTGCTCTTTGTAAAATAAATTCTCCTTTTTCCATTTTTGTTTACCGGTCTGAAGTCCATTTTTGGGTCCCTCCATTGTTGCGCCGTAACAGAACAATCTGGCCAAATGGACCCATCGGACCAGGATCGCGACCCAGTACTACAGGCTCTGGCCACACAGGGGGTCAGAGTGGGCCATCATGAGCAGATTTTGAAGCAAGTGACTGAAAGACTCAGTGAGTTATCTGTTAATGTAACTCAGCTTTCCGCTCAAATGAATCAGCTCGCTCAGCTTTCGACTATGTTGCACTTGCCACCTGCGGGTCAACCTCAAGCAGCTGACCAGCCTCCAGTCCAACCTCCCACCTCTGCCGCTCGTGAGCCACACATTCCCACTCCAGAGCGCTACTCCGGTGATCTTGGGTCCTGTGGCCAATTCCTCCTCCAGTGCTCCCTGGTGTTCGACCAGCAACCCAACACCTATCATACAGATAAGTCTCGCATCTCATTTTTACTAAGTCTACTCACTGGTAGAGCTGCACAATGGGCCACAGCTGTTTGGGAATCTGACTCCACCCTATGTCAATCTTACGTTAACTTCACTGCAGAGATGAGGAAGATTTTTGACCACCCTCTTAAAGGGAAGGAAGCAGCTAAACGTCTACTCTCACTCAGTCAAGGCTCATCATCCGTTGCTCAATATGCCATAGATTTTCGCATTCTTGCTGTTGAGAGTGGTTGGGATGACACCGCCTTACAAGGTGTTTTTATGAGGGGGTTGAGTGAGAGGGTTAAGGACGAACTGGCTGCACGTGATGAAACCAACTCCCTTGAAGAACTTATTTCCCTGGCCACCCGTCTTGACAATAGACTGAGAGAGAGACAAAGAGAGAAAGCACGACAGTCCTCAAATTGTACACTCACCCTGCCTCAGTTGGCTTCTCCTTTCTCCAATGCTCAAATTAATAATTCCCCTGTGCCTTCCAGTGCCCCCGAGTCCTCTACTGGAGAGGAGCCTATGCAGCTGGGTCGGGCTCGGTTAACTCCTGCAGAACGCCAGCGCCGCCAGCGGTCAGGACTGTGCATTTACTGCGGACAAGCTGGACACTACATCAATTCCTGCCCCCAGCGACCAAAAGAGATGGCTCACCAGTAAATGGAGGGGTTCTGGTGAGCCAAACTACTTCTATCCCGGTTTCCTCTCCACATAGACTGCAGCTCCCATCTACTCTGTGCTGGTCGCGAGAATCTATCCCCCTCCTTGCACTAGTTGACTCTGGAGCAGATGACAATTTCATTGATTCAAACTTTGTATCTCAAGCCAATATCCATTTGGATCCCTTAAAACCCCCCAGGGATGTAAATGCTCTGAACGGGGAGAGGCTGGCAAGGATCACACATGTAACTGTTAAACTTACACTGGTTTTGTCTGGTAATCACAGGGAGGACCTTCAGTTTTTAGTTATTTCTTCTCCTCATGCCCCTATAGTTTTGGGACTCCCATGGCTGAAATGACACAATCCTCATATTGACTGGGCTAAGAACAACATTGCCAGCTGGAGCACCTTTTGTCATTATAACTGTCTCCAATCCGCTATCACCCCCAGCGGACTAGTCTCTTCTCCTCCGCCCAGCCCTCCTGATCTGTCTGCTGTGCCCCCCGAATATCACGATCTGGGTGAAGTGTTCAACAAACTGAAAGCGCTTTCCCTACCTCCACACCGTCCCTATGATTGTGCTATTGATCTGCTTCCTGGTGCTCCTTTACCATCTAGTCGCTTGTATAAACTTTCAGGTCCTGAGAGAGAGGCTATGGAGGTTTACATCAAGGATTCTTTAGCTGCTGGCCTAATTCGTCCCTCTTCATCACCTGTTGGCGCAGGATTTTTCTTCGTGGGGAAAAAGGACAAGACGTTAAGGCCTTGTATTGACTATAGGGGGTTAAATGACATTACTGTTAAAAATAAGTACCCCCTACCACTCATTGATTCAGCCTTTGAACCCCTTCATCAAGCTACCATTTTTACTTAGCTAGATTTAAGAAATGCTTATCACTTTGTTCGC